TTCTGGTTCTACACGATCAGATTTGTATTTTCTTTTTTTTTTTTTGGAAAGTTTCCAATAAGATGTAGAATAAAGAGATTCTGATGGACTGTCTGGATTCTAGGTTCCGACTCGGTTGTTTTTTCTGATGGAACCAAACGTCACACATGTTTAGCTCAAGGACGGTTTACAAGTTGAACCTCTTTGACAGTTTTTAACAAACGAATCATTTTATTGATATATTTCTTTGAGATGACATGCGTGTCGATGCAGCAGCAGTGCTCAGAGGTGAAGCTGCACATGAACAAACCACAGCATGAAAAGGAAACGATGTCAAGATGCAGCAGCAGCGACTGAACCCTCAGCAGGTACAGGTGTCCCCTAAGAACCATGCTGCAAGTCAAGGCTAATGAAGCTACCATATATGCTAACGTGCCCATCTACAGTTAAAAAAATAGAGAATTTATAATTAATGAAAGAAAAGGAACAAACTGCAGAAAAGGTTTATTTAGAAACGCTTTAGTTTGAGGTGATGCTACACAGCGGTTAGAACGTCCTGGAGCATTCGTTTAGGGACACTTTCCGTAAGGCGCTGATATGAAAACTAAATGAAAGGTCACATGGTTGTTCAACCTGAAGGAGACGCACAGGTGGACATACTGACCGTCCCAGGAAGTTACCAAATATGGTCCTCTGCCCCATGAGGGGTTAAAGCCAGACTTCAGCGTTGAAGTGAGACTTTACAAAACAAGAGAGGACAGGAGACCTTAAGACACAGTGTAATCCATCATGACATGAGACAAACTGAGATGACCAGATGAGTCACGATATCGTCCATCATGGCCCATCAGAAGTCCTTCTCCATGTAGTCTTCAGACTCCTCCCACCCCCGGTACCTGCTTCAGGAGACCCCCGACACAACCAGTCCTAAGAGGTTTCTTCTTCAGCCTGACAGCTTCCTTCACTGCTGCTGTCCTCCAGCAGGCTTCTAGGTTAGGGTTGGGCTTGGTGCCATCCTGACCAGCACCAGCGACCTTCTGGCCACAGCTCCAAACAGCTGCTTCTGCAATGGAGACGTTCAACACGGCCCCCTCAGACTCCATGTCCTCAGCCTCCCCGGGATGCAGGAGAAACTCTTGTGGAGGTGGAGGTCAGACACTGAACCTGAAGGTGCTCCTGATGGCAGGCAGCAGCGAGCGCGGCAGCTCTGACAAACACCGCAAAGCGCTTTGAGCAGCACTATGGTTGAAACGTCTCTATAAGTGCAGACCAGCTACCATTCCACATCCCCACAGCCAGTCCACACCACCAGGGGGCGGCCCGGCTGGGGGCCTGCCGGGTGTACGCAGAACCCGACCCTAACGTCCAGCCCTGCTGGCGGTCGGCCCATGTTGTTTGTTGCGATGTGGCGGTTCTTATATTGGTTGTTTTCATTGGGGTTTTCTCGTCCCTCCTTTGGAGACCATACCAGGGGCTGCTGCCCCCTACAGCACGGCTGCCAGGATCACAGGGGCGCTAACCGCTAATAGGGGTGCTAACCACTACCAGGGGCGCTAACCGCTACTAGGGGCACTAACTGCTACCAGGGATTCTAACCGCTACCAGGGGCGCTAACCGCTACCAGGGGCACTAACTGCTACCAGGGGTGCTAACCGCTACCAGGGGCACTAACTGCTACCAGGGATGCTAATCGCTACCAGGGGCGCTAACCGCTGCTAGGGGTGCTAACCTCTACCAGGGGCGCTAACCGCTACTAGGGGCACTAACTGCTACCAGGGATTCTAACCGCTAATAGGGGTGCTAACCGCTACCAGGGGCGCTAGCCGCTACCAGGGGCGCTAACCGCTACCAGGGATGCTAACCCGCTACCAGGGGCGCTAACTGCTACCAGGGATGCTATCCGCTACTAGGGGTGCTAACCTCTACCAGAGACGCTAACTGCTACCAGGGGTGCTATCCTCTACCAGGGATGCTAACCCGCTACCAGGGGCGCTAGCCGCTACCAGGGGTGCTAACCGCTACCAGGGATGCTAACCACTACCAGGGACGCTAACCACTACCAGGGATGCTAACCGCTACCAGGGGCGCTAACTGCTACCAGGGATGCTAACCGCTAGCCCGCCACAGCGTGGAGGTTCTTCATGGGGTGTGTGACGGAGCGCTGCTGCTGTGGCTTTGCTGTAAACTCTCCAGGCTCATATCAGTATGTGTGATGGTGGTTGGGCAGAATCAGTTCTAGACAATGGAAGGACCGTGTTACCTCCAGAACCTTCCAGAACCACCATAACTGTTAGTCTCTGTAGCTGTTGTAAGATTTCATGATGTTTAACTGTGGTTCTGGAACTTTATTCCTTTTGTGGCTCAGAAGTCCGTTTGTAAGGCGCTGCAGCGCTTCATAGCAGCAACAGGTGACCAGTTAGCCGCCCGCCGTTAATCTGATAACGAGTCGGTTTGAATTAAAACAAACAAGCTGTGACTGCAGTCTCTTATATGTTCTTATTGTGTGGGTCACTATCATGGAATACATCCTATAGTACTGATGCTTAAGGTCCGATACAGGAGAAATGACCAGGAACCAGATTTATTCTAGACGAGAGCTGCAGCATCTACTGATGACTGTGAGGCGTTCAGGGAACACGGAGAAGCGGCAGGCTCTGTAGATCAGCAGATGTTCATCCAGGGAGGTGTTGGTTCAGTTTAGTTTATGTCCAGCCTCCAGGAGAGTCTCGGACTTCAGCTGCACAATGTTTTCATCAAATTTAAAAAGTATTTCACCACAGAAAGGAAGATGTTTAATAAAACTGGTTCTCCATCTGCAGCTGCTGTTGGTTTGATCTTTGTTTTTGACGTTGTTGTTGAACATCAGTCTCTTCACTCAGAGTTTAAGCACATTTATTAGTTTCAACATCAAGCGTTTACATTTTACCAAAGACGAGACTTTTACAGGTGATGCGGATCTTGGTCAGGTTCAGGCCGTAGACCAGAGGGTTGAAGAGCGGCTGGCATGTGAGCCAGTACAAGGACAGGAAGACGCGCAGCACGTTGGGCACTCGGCTCATATTAAATCTGTTCTGCACAATCTCAAAGAAACAGCCACAGGAGAAGTTGATGAGAGAGGCCAGGTGAGGCGTGCAGGTGCTCACCGCCTTCGCTCTGCTCTGCTTACAGCCGGAAAAACACACCTTCAGGATCCTCAGGTAGCTGAAGAGGATGAGCAGGACGACGGCGACGGCCAGCGCTGTGAAGGTGATGCCGTAGATGTTGTTGACGGAGGTGTCGGAGCAGGACAGCTTCACCACAGAGTAATTATCACAGTACACTTTGTTGATGACGTTTCCACAGAGCTGCAGAGGAGCACTCAGACTAATCAGAACACCGACTAAAAGAAAAGGACAGAACCAGGTCAGAGCAACCAGCACTGCGATCTTATGTGGCGTCATGCGTGTGCTGTACTGCAGAGGGTGACAGATGGCCACGTAGCGGTCGTAGGACATGACGGCCAGGTTACAAAGCTCCACATTTGCATACGTGTAGATGCAGTAGATCTGCAGGAAGCAGAGAGAAGCAGGAACAGTGTGAAGTTCAGAGAGGATCTGGACCAGCAGCAGTGGAAACAAGCCTGTACTACCATACAGCTCATTGACAAACAGGCTGCACAGGAACATGTACATGGGCTCATGGAGGCTCCTGTTCACACAGATCACCACGTTTAACAGCACATTGGCACCAATAATCACAACATAGACAGACAGAACAATTGTGAAATATAAGTATTGAAATGCGCCGGTGTTGAAGTACGCTGTGAGAGTGAAATATGAAACCTGTGTGGAGTTTTTCATGATCATGTGTTTGGTTCACAGTCAGTAAAAACAAACCTGCTGTTTACATTCTAGCAGAGATCACAGCGATGCCAAATACGTACCGGATGCTGAGCGAATGTCAATCCTGTTACACATCATAAACTGTCAGTAACATCACATGTTCAGGATAGACAATCTAACGAGCAGCTTCTGACCAAACAGAACATCCAGTCATAGAGAAAGATAAACTCACCATCCCCTCATTCAAACCCAGCACAGTGATCAGATGTGAGTCCTACTGAGAGTCAGCCTCACTGAGCAGCTCCTTTTAACCTCCTCGGGTCAGAGGCTTCACCTCCTACTGGGACCAACTCAGACACTCAACACTGGAGACAAACAGAAATCAAGAGAGGTTCACAACTTTGGCAAGAGTTTCAGTACAAGTCAACTGGACTTTGGTGTGATGTTCTTGATGATGCTTCACTGTCATTCAAGAGGCCAACTGACTGGTGGGGGGTCCCAGCTATTTCTGGGCCCCAAAGACATCGTGAATAATGCATGAACTGCCCAACATTCACATTCAAGGTGTGAATATTTGTGAAGCTACCTGGTAGGTGATGGCTGAAGGTGGACATGGTGGTGAAAGTGCAACGTGGGGAATGACTCAAGGTGTGAATGGTGGAGACTTATGTTGCTAATCCATACCTCCATAACTAGACAGTAGACCGTTAGACTAGTCCCCAGACCTCTGTAACTAGTTCTAGATCTCTGTGAATAGTCCCTAGACCTCTGTAACTAGTTCTAGATCTCTGTGAATAGTCTCCAGACCTCTGTATCTAGTTGTAGATCTCTGTGAATAGTCCCCAGGCCTCTTTAACTAGTTCTAGATCTCTGTGAATAGTCCCCAGGCCTCTATAACTAGTTCTAGATCTCTGTGAATAGTCCCCAGACCTCTATAACTAGTTCTAGATATCTGTGAATAGTCCCCAGGCCTCTGCCAGTTGAGGGATGACTTAATGTCTCAATGATGGAGATCTATGCAGCTCATCTGGACCTCAGGAACTAGACTTCAGACCTGAGAAGCTAGTCCCCAGTCCTTTACAACTTGTTTAGACCTTTAGCTAGTTGTAGACCTCTACAACAAGTCCCAGAACTCACCAGTTAGACCACAAACCTCTTTAGACAGTCTTCTGACCACTGCAGTTAGTCCCCAGATTCTCCGTGTTGACTCCAGACCTGTGCAGCAAGACCCAGGACTTCTCAGGACAAACTGTCAGGTTAGGGGAGGACTCAAGGTGTTAATGGTGGTGGTCTGTGCAAGTAGGCCCCAGATCTCTTGAGCTAGTCCCTGGACTTCTGGATCTAGTCCCCAGCACGTTCCAGATCTCTACTGTTAGTCGGCACTCTGCAACTACTGCCCAGTAGTTCTGGCCACAGCTCCTCACCGCTTCTGCAATGTAGGATTTGAACACGGCCCACTCAGGTTCCGTGTCCCCAGCCTCCCCTGGGAGGTGCAACGACCTCGTCTGGAGGTAGGGTTTGCTCACCTCATGGACAGGGGCCTTCAGCAGACCCTCCCAGTTCACCTTCACCACATGTTTGGGTTTACCAGGTCTGTCCAGCAGCCTTCCATCGGACCCAGCTCACCACCAGGTGGTCAGTTGTCGGCTCTGCTCCTCTCTTCTAACCCTGGCCATATGCATGGAGGGCAGGAGGGATGGGTTTCCTATTATGCTGTTTTTAAATGCTGTGAAGCACTTTGTGTTGCCACAGTGTATGAGAAGTGCTATACGAATACAATTTGATTTGATCTGATTCATCCGAGTGTCTGAGACAGACTCTGATGACACGACTACGAAGTCGATCATCGACTTTGACCTCAGGTGTTCTGGTACCAGGTACACCTATAAGACACCTGATAACGGAACATGTGTTTGTTAAGGCTAATCCATCACCAGCATAGAAGTCCAATAACAGAAGACCACTCTGGTTCAGATCAGGCTGCTCCTGATCCAGGTGCTTACCTGTGACTGTGCACCCAACCCCTTTACATGTATGTGCGGATGGTGAACCCACTGGATCGGGGCCCTCTGTCACCCTTTTAGGTTGTGCTATGCTGAGCGTCATCGACTAATTCTTGGCCACCAAACTTTCGCTGACGAGTCCTCGTCCAGGTGGCCCCCATCCCTGCATTACAGGCATAGTCGTACTGCTCCTTGTGACCAACATCACTGAGGCTTTTTGAATGTGCCCTAGTCTCGCTCCTCCACTAAAACATAACAGACCAACCCCTCCACTGCAACATGGGGGGGATTCCTCAGGTGGACATTTAGTCCAGACCTCTGCAACAACTCCTAGACCTCAGCAGCTAGTCCCCAGACCCCAGAACTCTTGATGATCCTGATCTGGATGTTGAAGGTCATCTGTAATGCTGAGAAGGAAACTGTTCCTTCCTCTGTCCAAGCTGTAGCCAAACTGACCCTTTAGCTGTGAGCGACGGACCCCCAACCTCTGGTTAATCAGGATTCTTCATTGTATGAATTCTTCTACCACGTATTCCAGCTGCTTCAGATCTGCATCATTTGTTCCTGTGCCAGAGTCAAGATAATCATATCTGGTCTTTTAGGACTAAATGTTCTGGTCAGTGTTGACTTTGATTCCGTTTACCGGTTTAGCTGCAGGACTTTATGGAGCCAGGTTTTACTAGTCTGAGAGTTGACGACCTTCTGTCATAGCAAGGAGCTGCTGTCACAGCTGCAATGCTTTGCTTTGACTTCTCACACCTTGTTCTGAGCAGACTCTTCAAACGAAGGCAACTTCAGTCCACATGTTTTGGTTTCAGCCTCTCAGCTTGTCCCTGCACTCCAAAAACACACCTATTAGTTGTTGAAAAGTCCTCAGCACTCGTGTTTCAGTGAAAAACAAGTGCTGTTGTTTGTTTGTGCCGTCACCAGGAGGCTTGGCCTGGGGAGCATCTGGTAATGAGGCTGCTGCTGCTGCTGCTGTGTGATTCGTCAGAAAGTTTAAAAGCAGCAGCAGCAGCAGAGTTTGGTCTCAGTGGGGAGGGAGGCAGAGCAGAGAACCTTCACACCATGTCTGATTCTGCTTTCTGACTTCGGTTCAGGTGCACAGATGGCCAGAAGTTGTCGCCATTGTTTCTAATGAATGTTGAAGTGATTTGCATGCTCTGATGTTTCCTCTGCATATCGTACCAGAGGACTGTTGTGGTGAACAGTGTTAGCAGGAGCTCTGGCAGGATGATGAACTCCACACAGGTCTCTTACTTAAGACTCGCCGCCTACGTCGACACCGGACTCCTGAAATACGTGTACTTCCTGATTGTTCTGTGTGTCTATGTGTTCATCGTGGGTGCCAACGTGTTCCTCATCGTGGTGATCTGTGTGAACAGGAGCCTCCATGAGCCCATGTACATGTTCCTGTGCAGCCTGTTTGTCAATGAGCTGTATGGTAGTACAGGCTTGTTTCCACTGCTGCTGGTCCAGATCCTCTCTGATGTTCACACTGTTCCTGCTTCTCTCTGCTACCTGCAGATTTATTGCATACACTGCTATGGAACCGTTGAATATTTAAGCCTGGCCGTCATGTCCTACGACAGATATCTGGCTATTTGTTATCCTCTGCAGTACAGCAGCCATATGAGCGCTAACAGGACGGCCACCCTCATCGCCCTGCCCTGGCTCTACGGCCTGCTGGCGTGCCTTATTATGATCTGTTTGAGCTCCTCTTTGCAGCTTTGTGGGAACATAATTCAAAAAGTTTACTGTGACAACCACGCTATTATCAAGCTGGCCTGCGCTGACACTCGTCTTCTCAACACACTGGGACTCTTCTCTAGTTTCTGTGCAGTAGGTTTTCCTTTCATGGTAATCCTCTACACCTACATGCAGATCCTGAAGGTGTGTTTCTCTGGTTCTAAGCAGACCAGACAGAAGGCTGTCGCTACCTGCTCACCTCACCTGGCTTCTGTGTTGAACTTTACGTTCGGGGTAAGCTTTGAATTGTCCCAGAGCAGGTTTGACATGAGGAGTGTGCCTGCTCAGATCAGAATATTAATGTCGCTGTACTGGTTTCTGTTTCAGCCGCTCTTAAACCCTTTAGTTTATGGCCTGAACATGTCCAAAATACGGATTTTATTTCAGAGTTTGCTGGCATGCAGACCCTCTGAGCTTTGAGCAGTTTCTGCTTGTTTTGTTTCTCCTGTCATATGTGGACTTTTTTTTTTTCCTGCAACATAAAGTCCTGCAGCTCTGAGGAACCAGAACATGGAGAAGGAGAGAGAACCCAGAGACGTCTTCTGTCAGCAGGACTCAGAACCATGGCAATGCTTTTATTTTTTTACATTTCTACAATTGTAGAATTTAATTTAGCAGACACCACAACACGAGCAAGGGTCCAATCAGGAGAGGACAACTGGAGAAGTGGCACAGAACAGGTTGAGTGAGATCGGCCCAGCAGGAGGTAGCAGGATGGCTTTCATTTGTCTGTCAAGTGCAGAGGTGTTCAGCCGTAGAAAGATGTTCCACCATCACATGAATGTATCTCCACCAATTGGCTCCTCTGGTCTCTGGTTCTGATCCGTGCTGCATTTATTCATTGATCCAGTAGGATGGATTCTCCTTCAGTCTCTCTGAGGAAACTCTGGCTGCAGCTCACCAGGAAAATGTCTTTTGTTTTTTACAGAATCGCTTCAGAGCAAACAGTTGACTTTACTGCATGAATAAATGATTTGGAAGAAGAATCACAGCTGTAACTTAGATTTGTTTGATTTTCCTGATGAAGCGGCACATCACAGGATCTGCAGGTTTCAGCAGCAGTTAGTGTCACTAC